TGTGATATCTTAACGTAATATTCTACATTGGATATGCTCTGGTTTTCTGAATAATTTTTAAACTTCTTTAGTTCCATCCTCCCCTCAAAAATGAAGTCTTCTGGGGTGCTTGGATGGCTCAGTTGTGTAAGCGTCCGACTTCGATTCAGGTCACAATCTCACTGTTTCTGAGTTTGAGTCCCACATCAGGTTCTGTGCTGACAGCTCAGAGCCTGGAGCCTGTTTCAGATTCTGTGTCTCCTTTCCCCACTCGCACTTTGTCTCTCTCTCTCTCAAAAATAAGTAAAAAATTTAAAAAAATGATGTCTTTTTATGTTATATTCTTTCAGGTCCTGGTGTTAGTTGATGGCTAATGTTTTTACAAAACTTCCATATTAATTATAGTTGCTAAGTTCTCTGCACGTGACCATAATGTTCCCTTTAATTTATTACTATACTATAAAATCCCTCCAAAATATATGGGTTTAAAACTATATTTTCTTTCATTTTATCTCTCACACATTTTATTTCATTTTGTCTCTCACCACTTGTGAAGACACAAGAATGACTATTCCAGTGAGTAAGGTAAAAGATGCTCCTTTGCTTTTTTATGACTCTGTCTATGAAGTCATGGAGCCTCATTTCAGCAGAATTCTGTTGGTTATAAGCAGGGTCTGAAATTTGGAAGAGTTTGTTGGGAGATAGTTCTCCATGTCTCTTGCATTTCTGTCCATCCTCTGAACAAGAAGCACTGACATCTTTGTTTCAATGATTTTTTTCAAGAATGTTTGTATAGCAGTGAGCTTTGGATGAAAGATGCAGTGTCTCCCTTTGAGACAGAGGGCACATATGTTTCCTGTTAATGGCAATAAAGATAATGTCTAGGCAGATTAGGCAGGTTTGTTAGTAGTGTCCTCATAAGACTAGGGAGGCGGAGAGTGTTCCTAAGTTTGGGTTATTCCCATGTGAATTAAAACCACAGTGTGTGCAGCGTCTATCTAGACCACTCAGTATCATTCATTTACATTTTAAATAAATAAGATGAACCGATACCACCATGAACTTCATGCTTCTACTGCTTACAGTGCCATGGGTAATAAAGTCCTTGGTCTCTTTCTTAGAAATGTTTTCTGTGGTGCCTGGGTGGCTCAGTCAGTTAAGCGTCTGACTTCGGCTCAGGTTGTGATCTCACAGTTTGTGGGTTTGAGCCCCACATCGAGCCTGTGTTGACAGCCAGCTCAGAGCCTGGAGCCTGTTTCAGATTCTGTGTCTCCCTCTCTCCCTGACCCTCCCCTGGTCACGTTGCCTCTCTCTCAGAAATAAATAAAAAACATAAAAAAAAAAAAAAAAAAAGAAAGAAATGTTGTTTTCTTCTGTTTTCTTCCAGCATCTATGAAATTGCAACAGAGACTAACCTGTTAGCTTGAAAGTTGGTAAAATCTCAGACTCTTCATAGCCCTTGCTAGAACTCATGGCGTGGTTCTGGCTCAAGACATCTCAACTATTTGTAGTCACATAGTGACTTAAAACTTAGGGGTGATGCTGGAGATCTTACTCTACCTTCATACTATCCTAAGGTTTCTCTATGTGCGTCTCACAACTGATAGCTGAGCTTATTCACAGCATAACAGCACCAGGGCAGTCAGACTGATTACATGGCAGCTGAAGACACAAGAATGAATATTCCAGTGAGTAAGGTAAAAGATGCTCCATTGCTTTTTTATGAATCTGTCTATGAAGTCACGGAGTCTCATTTCAGCAGAATTCTTTTGGTTATAAGCAGATCACAGGCCCATCTGGATTCAAAGCGAGAGGAAAGAAAATCTGTCTCTTTATGGGAAAGTGGCACAATGCATGAAAAACATGTGGGACCAGAGCTACTATTATGGTTATTTTTTGGAAAATACAATCTATTATAGTGGGATAAGCATGGATGGGAACCTAGAAACATCACAAAAGTTGTATTATTTTTTATACAAGTTACATAAGCTCTGTATATCTTAGTTCCATAAATACTATCATACTATTCACCATGAATTCAAGAAGTCAGCTAATATTATAATTATTTTAAAAATAATTTATTATACTTTGAATGTTTTTCTATGTGGAGCTCCCTTTTTGGTTCTTTTTCCTTCAAAAACCGGTTGTTTTAATCTTTCTAGACTCTAAGCTCTGTCTCCTTCTCTTGAAATACTATCTAACTTAAATTCATTGCTGTATTTACCTAAATCACTTAAAAAATGCACTAAAATGCACTATCTATATTTCGAACTACTTCTAAAACCTTAAAACTTTTTTAAAGAGAATTTTAAAAATATGATCGAATTTATAGTAAGGGCTCATTGTTAAAGAAATGGTGCAGTAACTGTCCTTCTGGACCTCTCTATCTCCTAAAGACCCTCCAGAAATGGCTATGGCTTCATAAGGAATGGTGAGATGGTTCTTATGTGTCAATTAGGGTTGGCCATAGCACACAGTTACTGAATCAAATACCAATCTAAGTGCTGCTGTGAAGGTATGTTATAGATGTGGTTAACAATCACAATCAATTGTTTAAGTAAAAGAGATTAGCCTTTTCTCATGTCTGGGCCAATCAGATGAATCCAATTAGTTTGGTCTTAAGGATAAAAACTGAGGTTTCCTGGAAAGGAAGAAATTTTTTCTCAAGACTACCAAAAATACCGCTTGAATTTCCATCCTGCCAGTCTTCCATACAGATTTCAGATTTTACTGGCTAGTTCTCACAATCAAGTGAACAATTCCTCCTCTCTCATTCTCTCTCTCTCTCTTCCTCTTGCTGTGTAACAACCAATTGTATAGATATAATAGGTATATAAATATATATTCACATATATACATATATATTCACATATATACATAATATTCACATATATATGTACAATTCATTGTTTTTCTCTGAAAACTCTGATACAGTGGTCTAAAAATATTGATTCAAGTAAATGACAGAGACAATTTGGACCCTTTAATCACAACATCTATTATCTATTGAGAATTTCTCTGAATTGTATGTTTGATATATTACATTAGTTCACACCACAATGAGAATCTAGACATTTTATCTCAATGTACAAATGAGAAAGCAGTGGTTGAGTAGAGCTAAGCAACTTGCTGTGGTCACTTAGGAAATGAAAGCCAGGGCTGCGACTTGATATCCTGCCTTTCAACTCCAGAGTACATTGCTGTCACTCAGTCATGTAACAAGTAGCTTTAGTATTTTTCCTAAAACATCACTAGATTATTTGTTTCATATCTGAAGAATTTGCTCGGTTCTTGGTAACCCAAATAATGAAGCACTTTTCAGTGAAGACTGGAAAACTAGCTGCCAATTTGTTCTGGGTACTTTAACTACTTTCCTACTTTTAGGACAACTTTATTTATTTATTTATTTATTTATTTATTTATTTATTTATGAGAGAGACAGAGAGAGAGTGCATGAGCGAGGGAGGAGCAGAGAGAAAGGGAGAGAGAGAATCCCACAGGGGGCAGAGAGGGAGACAGAGAGAATCCTGAAGGAAGGCTAGAGTTCACCCAATGGGGGGGCACAAGCTCATGAACTGTGAGACCATGACCTGAGCTGAGGTCAGAAGTTTAAATGACTGAGGCACCCAAGTAGCCTTAGGGCAACTTTTTATATTGATAAAACATAAATTATTAGAGTAAAAGAATTTTAATGACATATCCCTGGGTAGAAATTTATTATCAAATCAAACATGATGTCAGAATACTTGCACTAAAAACACTGATGCTCTTCTATTTTTTTAAGGAAAAACATTGACATAAAATTTAACTTCCAGTTCCTCATTACAGAAATAAAATATATATGAATTACTGAAATATTGCAAAATAGAGTATATAATGAAGGAAAAATAAACTAACCATAATTTGACTATTCAGATATAATCACACAATAGTTTTTTATGTAACTTCCAAAAACTCTAGGTATATAATGACAATTTATACTGTATTTAACATTTGTAAGTTGTTTTTCACTTTCTACATAATAAGCCAAAATTCCATGTTATTAAATATAATTTTAAAAATTTCTTAGTTTGTTTTTGAGAGAGAGGGAGAGAGAAAGGGCAGAGAGAGTGGGACAGAGGATTTGAATCAGGCTGTGTGTTAACAGCAGAGAGCCAGATGTGGGGCTCGAACTCATGAACTGCAAGATCATGACCTGAGCTAAAGTCAGATGCTGAACCAACTGAGCCACACAGGTGCCCCTGAATATTATTTTTAATGGCTAAAGTTTATAAATCATAATTTATTTACATAGATACTTACGTTGGGCACTTAGTTGAATGTAGAAGCACTATATTGCAAATAAAAACACTTGATATCTTTTACCCATATATATCTTTATTCATTTCTAATGACTTCTTTGGGAAAGTATCCTGACATGAACACTTATTGTTCAACAATTATGAACTTAATTTTAAGCTCATATATTTATTGCCCTCCAGTTGTTTTATAAAATTTACTAGCCTTCTAGCATAGTTTTTAAAAAATACTACTTTTTTGAGAATATCATATGTTTAAATTATTATCATCATTCTCAAAATTCTTAGTCCTGGGGGCACCTGGGTAGCTCAGTTGGTTAAGGGTCTGACTCTGATTTCAGCTCAGGTCATGAACTCATGGTTCATGAGATCAAGCCCTGTGTCAGGCTCTGTGCTGACATTGTGGAGCCTCCTTGGGATTGTCTCTCTCCCTTTCTCTCTGTCCTCCCCCACTGCTTGCAGGCTCGGTCTCCCTCAAAAATAAACTAATTAATTAAAACATTCTTAATTCTGAATTTTGCTTTATTAAATTATGTACAAGGAAATAGTAAAACTTTCTATAAATTCCTGATATAATTAAGTAATAAAATCAAGTACTGAGCCTATATTTTATGCTATGCCCTCTGTAACACAGATTTAATATATAATATTCTTGTTTGCACTGTTTCATAATAGCGGTGAAACAGAAACTTTTATTATCCTGAGAGAGGGAATATGACTTACACAAAGTCACACAGGTATTAAGAAGTGAAGAAGGACTTCTGCTTCAATAAATGGAACACAAGGACTGGGTTGGTTTTCCCTCTGCAACAACCAGAAAATAGACAAAATATATGAAAAGATGGTTTTCAGGACACTGGACATCAGGAAAATATTGTGATCTCTGAAAGAAGGAAAGTAAAGGATGTGACCACTAAAACTGCCCCAGATTATGGCTTTCATTGACTACACCAAACGTGATGCAGGGAGGGGCCCCAGGCAGAGCACAGAATTCCATAAAGAGAAAGAGAAAGACAAAACTGAGTCCAGGGATACCAAGGCAACTAGTGTATGAAGGACAGATCCAGAAAGAAGACAGCTGCACATAGAGATAACTAACCCTAAAGATTTGTAAAAGGTGTCCAAAAAGTACTAATCAGTGTGTATGTATGAAGAAATAAGACAGGGAAAGACCATCAAATAGATTAGAGGGAATTATACCTGATGTTTTCCAGTAAGAATAGAATACTCATAATTCAAAGAATATTACTCAGAAGTATTTTGCATAAGTAGGGAGAAAAATTTCTGTTTGACTCCATTAACCAAATCTTAAAAATCCACATCCAAGTGTATCACTATTTCTAAGTAATTTAACTGTGTCCCTTAAGAAATCTCAAAAATTTTACAGGAATACAAAGGTATCCAGGGCCCAGAGAGGTTAAATTCATAATGCCTCACAGTCAATAAATTATTACCGGACATATGAAAAAAACAGAAAAAAAATGACCCATTATGAGGAGGAAATTCAATCAATGTAGTGGCTCAGAACTAGGACAAATGTAACAATTAGAAAATATAGACATAAAATGCTATGATAACTGTTTTAAACAAGTTTACACATGTAAGTAGAGATAAGCAAGATGTAAAAAGATCCAAACTGACTTTAGATACTAAAAATACAGGGGCAACTGGGTGGCTCAGTTGGTTAACCATTTGACTGTTGATTTCAGCTCAGGTCATGATCTCAAGGTTTATGAGATTGAGCCCTGAGATGGGCACAGCGGAGTCTAAATGGATTCTCCCTCTCCCTCTCTCTTTGTCCTTCTCTAACTTGTGTGCATACGTTCACTCTCTCTCTCTCCCTCTCTCCCTCTCTCAAAATAAATAAATAAACTTATAAAAAAGAAATGAAAAGTACAATGTCTGAGATGAAATATACACTGAATATAACTAGTAGCAGATTAGACATGACATGATAAAGGAACTTAAACACCTAGTAGGATAAATATCAAATATGGAACAAAAAGAGGAAAAAAAGAAGTTTTAAAAAGTGAACAGAGTATAACATGCATGTAATTGGAGTTCCCAAGAGAGAAGAGAAAGTGGTGAGAAAGAAAAATACTGAAAGAGTAACAGTTGAAATTTGCCAAATTTGCTGACAAAAATAAACCTCAGATTCGAGAAGATAAATGAACCCAAACAAGGAAATATAAAATCGCTAAACCAAAGCATACCATATGCAAACTGCTTGGAATCAGAAATAAGGACATAATCTTAGTAGTATCCAAAGAGGGAGAAAAGTTGCATACACAGTAACAAAGAAAATGATTCCACCAGATTTCTCATTAGAAATAACACAAACGAAAAGATTGTAGGGCAACATCTTCAAATTACTGAAAACAAACAACAGCAAAGCAAAACAAAACCTCTCAACACAGAGTTCTATACAAATATTAAATATTTCTCAAAAAAATAAGAAAGCCAGTGGCGCCTGGGTGGCTCGGTGAGTTAAGCGTCTGACTTCAGCTCAGGTCATGATGTCCTGGTTCGAAGGTTCAAGCCCCGCGTGGGGCTCTGTGCTGACAGCTAGCTCAGAGCCTAGAGCCTGTTTCAGATTCTCTGTCTCCCTCTATTTCCAACCCTCCCCTGCTCATGTTCTCTCTCTCTTTCTCTCTTTCTCTATCAGAAATAAAACATTTAAAAAATTAAAAAAAAATGAAAGCCAGACAAATACAGTAGAAGGAAAAAAGAAAACAAAAAAAGAAAGAAAACAAAAGCCCTGGAGACTACTATCTCTCATGAATGTAGATACAAAAATCCTCAACAGAAATTTAGTAAATCAATCCACGAATATATAAAAATACTTAACTTCACAACAAGGATGAGTAGAATTTACTCTATTAATGAAAGACTGGTTCAGCATTCAGCAATCTGAAATATCAGTGTAATCCACAATAGCAAGGGCTTAAAAAAGAAACTGATCAATTGACATAATATGGTAAATTAAGACATAAAAAGGATTTTACAAAATCCAATACCATTTATGACAAAAAAAGAATCTCAGCACACGAGGAAGAGAGAACCTCTTTAATCTAATAAAGAATGTCTCCAAAAAATCTCCAGTCAATATTATATTTAATAGTGAAAGTCTACTGTTTTCAATTAAGGTTGGATACAAGCAAAGATATTCTTTCTTACCACTCCTTCTAACAAGTCTATTGGAATTTCTAACATGAACAGTTAGACAAAAAGAAGAAATAAAGGGCATTCAGGTAGGAAAAAAAAAGATGATGTAATTTGCAGTTGTGTATATAGAAAATCATCAAAATTTATTTATATATTTATATTTATATATTCCAAGAAATAATATGTGAGCTAAGCAAGGTCACAGGATATAAGAGTATCAGAGAAAAACAAATTGTTTTAATGCATACTAATGAGAATCATATGGATACTGAGGTTTAAAACACAATATCATCTAAAATTTCTTCAAAGAAAATAGTCTTGGGAGTACTACACATGCCTGAAAGTATTCACTACAAGTAGATATGCCCTATAAGAAAATTTGAAAGGAGCCCCTCAGATAGAAGGAAAATAATACCAACTAGAAATTTGAGTATACATAGAGTAACGAAGAATACTGGAATCAAAAACATATTATAAATATATGACTTTTAAAAATCACATCTTTAAAAAAATTTTTTTAATGTTTTATTTATTTCTGAGAGAGAGACAGCATGAGCAGGGGAGGGTCAGAGAGAGAGGGAGACATAGAATCCGAAATAGGCTCTAGGCTCTGAGCTGGCTGTCAGCTCAGAGCCTGACGCAGGGCTCGAACCCACAAACCGTAAGATCATGACCTGAGCTGAACCAACAGAGCCACCCAGGCACCCAAAAAATCACATCTTTTAAACATAACTATTTAAATAAAAATAACATTGTTTCATAAGCATTTACAACATGTAATTAGATATATAAGAGTGACACTTGAAAGACAGCTAGTGGAGAAATTAGCATTTCTTTTAAGATATTTATACTTTATATGAAGTGGTATATATCATTTGAAGGTAAAAAGTGATGTTTAGAATATATACTGTAAGCCCTAAAGTACTCACTAAAATAAAAAAAAAGCAACAAATAGTTATATAGTTAGTATGGCATAAGAAAAGAAAACCATGCTCAACATATAAAAAGGTAGGAAAAGAGGGGAACAAAACGGAGGGGATAAATAAAAAACCAATAACAAGTTGGTAGATCAAGACCACCCAGCTTAATTAAAAACAAAATTAAATGGTCAAAACATTCCAATGAAAAGGAAAGCTGTGCAGATTAGAAAAAAAAAAAACAAGACTCAGCTATATACTACTTACAAGAAATCTATTTTAAAATAAAAAATATACAAGTAATTTTAAAGGAAAAGGACAGAAACGATAAACAACACAAGACAAAGGAAAGCTGGAAAGGTTCTATTAATACCTAAACACAAATACAAAATAAATACTATACAGAGTACATTTCAGAGTAACGAACATGATAGGAATAAAGAAGGTCATGTCGTAATGGCAAAGGGATCCATTTATCAATAGAAGTCACAATTTTAAATAATTATATACATAAAAACAGACTTTCAAAATACATGAAGCAAAAACTGACATAATTGCAAGAAGAGAGAAATCTCTAATGTACCTAAGAAATGCAAAACCCTCATCTCACCAGTGATAGAACAAGTAACCAGATTATCACTAAGGATATAGATTTTGAGCAACACTATCAACAACTTAAGCTAACAGTCATTTTAGAACATTCCACACAACAGCAGAATAAATATTCTTTCGAGTGTGCACTGACGAAGGTAGATTGTATTCCACAGTATAGTGCTTAGGAAGAATACTATATCAATAAATGTCTTCATTAGAAATAAATTCAGCTGCTACATTAACTAGAAAAGTAATAAAACATTAAACTGAAAATAATTGTAAAAGGAAAACATGAAAGATCAGAATTGATTATCAATGGACTATAAAAGAGAGAAAAATAAGGAGAAATCAATGAGCTAAAGGAATGCTCTGAGAAATCAACAAATTAATAAAACTTTAGTCCACCAACTGACAAATACTGGCCAAAATTTCCCCTCAGCCCATTTTTGAATGGCCTGTGTGCTTTGAAAAACAAATAATGGTTGTTAGAAAACAAACAAGAATTCTTTCTTTTTAGGGCCAAATAATATTCCTTTGTATGTACGTACCAAAATTAAGTGTTTCAACTCTCCATACCCTGGAGAGCATTGTTATTTTCTATTTTTTTGATAATGGCCATCTTAACAGTAGTAAAGTGGTATCAGGATTTTGATCTGCATTTCTCTGATAATTAGTGATATTAAGCCTCTTTTCTTATACTTGTTAGCCATTTGTATGTCTTCTTTGTTGTAATGTCTATTCAAGTCCTGTGCCCATTTTTTAATTGAGTTCTTATTTTCTTTGTTAATCAGTTCCTGCTGTATACTACAGCATGGATGAGTCACGAGAACATTATGCTAAGTGAAATAAACCATCACAGGGGCGCCTGGGTGGCTTCAGCGGTTAAGCGTCCGACTTTCGCTTGGGTCATGATCTCGCGGTTTGTGGGTTCGAGCCCCACGTCGGGTTCTGTGCTGACTGCCAGCTCAGAGCCTGGAGCCTGTTTCAGAGTCTGTGTCTCCCTCTCTCTCTGACCCTCCCCTGCTCACACTGTCTCTCTCTCTCTCTCCTAGAAATAAATAAAAATATTAAAAAAAAAAAAAAAAGAAATACACCATCACAGAAAGACTAACACTTCTGAGTCCACAT